GCTGCCTAGGAAACCATCACACGACAGTGGGTATGGGCGCAACTCAGCTACCCCTGTGTGTGAGCTGAGAAGAGTTGCTTCAAACATTGTATAACTGCAGACCAGTACTACAGTGCAGCTGTTATCATGACCTTGGTGTAGCTGTTATCAGGACTCTTGCTCACGTGTATTTTAATATTATTGGGTATCTGTCTTCAGCATGGGTAGAAAGGTAAGATGTGCATTGCTTTGCTAGGCAATGCCAAGTTCTTCTCCAGAAGGCCAGATCAGATCTACACTCCCATCAGCAGTGTATCGTGTATCTGCTGCCCCATGGCCTCAGAAATTTGCCAGTGAGATTGTAACACCTTAAGCAAAGGATTTTCATTCTGGAAATCCCATACTTTCTCTAAACACAGGGGTTTTGTCAAGTAGAACAAACAAGTGTATCATTGCCCTAGCAACTGTAAAGATAACAGTGACTTACATTTCATTCTAGGTCGTGCTCCTTTGGTCTACCTGTCAGACGAGTGCCTTAATTTATTAGTGATAAAGTTTGGGATAGACGTTAATGAAGACATAAAGTCACGTGTGCTAGTTGCTGCGAGCAACCTCCAGTGGCACCCAGAATCCGGATCAGTAGTGCCGACTTTATTTGCTGGGAATTTTTCCGTATTTTCCACAAGTCCGAAGGAGGTCTACTTTCAGGAGAGAGCCAACAGAATGAAGCAAGCTATTGAGGTAAGATCAGGAAGTAGGAAACAGAATACAGTTTTAGCCCAGTGTTTCCACACATGAGCACATGAGCTCATTCACACCCTCCTTCCCTCACCCTCTTAGGGAGAGTTGGTTTTGCATTGATGTGCATGCTTGACAGGTGCTATCAAATTTTAAGTGTCTCATTAGGCATGGCGGCATATGCCTGAGATTCCAGAATTTGAGTGCCATCCTCTACAGAGAGAACCAGGTCAGCTGGGCTATATAACAAGACCCCAGCTAAACAACAAACAAACAAAAATGTGGCTCATTCTTTTGTTCTGAATGTTTTATTTCTAAAAGAAAATACTTTCCAAGAACATCGGTGTGTGAATTAGCAACTCAGGACACAGCTTTTCCACTTTATTCTCTTAGAATATCGATACATTTTACAAGGAGGCAGAAAAGAAGCTTTTACATCTGCTTAATGGAGACAGCCCCAAGTGGTCCACCCCAACCAAAGACTCCACTCTGCTGGCTTCCACCTGCCCTGCTACAGGCGGTCAGTTAGTGGTAAGTTATGGGTTTGAGAAATCACTTTGGGAAATAACAGGTGTTCTGGCATGCCCTAGCAAGTGTGAGGTGTAACTAAGCTGTACGTAACCTGTGGCTTGCTTGCTGTAGCTGTTCTGTGTAGAGATTGTAACTTGTTTGTTGAAGTGTGAATGTAAAGCTTTGGGAGCAAACTACATGGTTGGTACTCCATGGACATGTAGTGAAAATCCTTTCACCTGTTCCTGTTGCTAGAAGAGCTGCCCATACATACCATCTGCTAGCTGTTGAATTGTTTCTCAGGTCAGTTGGCTCATTAAATCATGGTAGGTGTCTGATTGCCAGGGTTGACAGGACAGGTGGCCCTGTACAGCACCCTGACTCAGTAAAGCAATCCTCACCCAGTACAAGAAAAGCCACTGTTAAGAGTTAGACCGGCAAAGAAAGAAGTTGAACAGTTGCCAGTGACTCAGGAGAAAAGAAGGCTGTTAGAACAGGCAGGGTCAACTGTGGCTCAGCAAATAGAGGTGCTGTGGCTGAGCCTGATGTTGATCAGTGTGACCCACCTGGTGGAGTGGGAAACCCACTCCCACAGGTAGTCAGTCCCCTGACCTTCACAGGTGTGCTGGAACATGTGAGTACTCACACGTGCACACACACATGCACATTACATGTACGCACACTAATAAGTAAATATTCAGAAAAGAGGGAGGAAGAAGTAGAAGTTAGAGTGTGTTCTTAAAGTGGTTCTGAAAAATCTGTCGTTTTTAGCTTTGTAACTCTTTTGGAAAGTTAAAGCATAAATGATATGATTTTTTTTAATCTTGTATTAGAATCTCTTCATTTTCCTTTTCTAGTCATTTTTATATTCTCTTGTGCAAAATTATTTCCTGTAGGATAGGAATAACAGCATGAAATTTTTGACATCATCTATCCTTTAACAGTTGGATAAGAAAGTGTCCTCTGTATTTTTTTAACAAAAGGTTAAATTTTATTGTGTTTATATACAAGTACATATTATGATAGGCTCCTTTTTTTATGTTTTGTTAGAGGTTTTCACCTAACAGTGAGCAAAATTATCAAAGTCCTTTATCACATTGCACACCAAAAGAGAAGTCTACACCCCTGGCTCAGTCAGCCCAGATGGCGTCAAAGTCTTGTTATGGGGAGAGAGAAATTGATGACCCAAAGACCTGTAGAAAAAGAAGAGCCTTGGATTTCCTGAGTCGGCTGCCCTTACCTCCCCCGGTGAGTCCCATCTGTACCTTTGTCTCTCCGGCTGCACAGAAGGCTTTTCAGCCGCCACGGAGGTATGGCACCAAATTTGCAACACCTAAGAAGAAAAAAGAGCCCCGTTCCCCTCAGAGGACACCATTTCAGACAGCCAGTGGCGTTTCTCTTTTGGAATATGATTCAGTAGCTGATGAAGAGCTTGCCATGCTCAGTACCCCAGCCCTTTTACCTGGCTCATCAGAAGGAAATGAACCAGCATTTCCTGGTGACTCCATAAGGACCCCTCTGCTCCAAGGACAAAAGGACCCCAGCTAGCACAGAGGCCAGACCAGCATGGAGGACCCAGATGCAGGAAGGAGTCTATCTCAGGGATTGTGGAGGTGACAACAGCGGTGGAAACTTAGCTGTTGAGTCTTAGCCTCCCGGTTTGTAACGTGTGTGCAGTTCCAAGCTGCACTTTTGTGAGACAAGACACAAATGACAGCACATAGCTGAAGGGTTTGTTTACTATACAGGTGTTCTGCCTGGTTCTATATTTATGAAACTGTCCAGATGTCTAAAGCTGGCCAGATAGTAACTAACTTAAAGATCTTTAAATCTTTGTCATTAGGTTTGATCACTACAAGCATATTTTACATGCAGAATAAACATACCTTTGCTTTTTGTTTGTGTCATTGACAAATTAAAGTTGAGGTCTCTAAGCACTGTTACTTTACTAGATAATTTGTTTTAGTTTGGTTTCTATTTTTAAGGTTTTTTGTAGGTAACTCCTATGAAATAGTGTCCTTTCACACGTGCTTGGTTCTGCTGGAGTTCCATTCTCTCAGATAAACAGACACGACAGTGGTGTCTACTTCTGGCCAGTTATTTACCCTTGATAGCAATAGGAACCTTCAAAGTCACTCCTTTCTATAATCTCTCAAATTAAATTATTCCATCTAGAAATCCAGCCAGGCATAATGATGCACACCTGTTGTCCCTGCACGAGGTAGAGGCAATACTAGGAGTCCACTAGTAACAGCAAGTTCAAGGCTGCCTGCTATGTCACACCTTCCCCAGCACAGCGCCATCTACAGGCAAATGCTCTCACTGTGCTTCAGCCTTAAAGTGTTCCATCTACTCTTATTAGTGATTTAAGTATTGTTCATAAAATAATTTTGTCTTCATGTCCTAATCATTTTTCTGGAACCCCAACCTAGAGCAGAGTAAATGAATCTTACATGAATGAGAATTATGCTATTTATGAAATTTAATCTTTTTTGTTGGTTCTTTCACTTGAGACAGGGTTTCTTTGGCTATCATCGAACTCACTCTATAGACCAGGTTGACCTCGAATTCAGAGATCCACTTGTCTCTCCCTCCTGAGTGCTCGGACTAAAGACATACGCCACCACCGTCCAACAGAAATTTAACCTTTTTTCTTGTGAATTCTATCAAAATGCTACTACTTTCCCCATCTTCTCTCAGGCCACATAGTACAGGCACCTTTTACATAGATCACAAGCATCCATGCTGCATGAACAAAGTATGAAGCTTAAGCATGGGTGCAGATTTTCCTTCTTAAAGTGACAGTGATTAAAGCCAACAGTGTTTACTGCGTGACCAGGGATAGATGGCGAAAGCATTTGGTGTTGTTTATTCTTTGAGAGCCTTCGGGTCACAGAGCTCTCTGCTGGCTCTATAAATAATGGAAATGGAGATACAGTAATGCAAGTCAGTGATGCAAGTTCAGAGGGCCCAGAAGTCAGAAGCCATAGGAGGAGAAAGGAAAGAACACATTGCTTCTAACTGGGATAAGCCTGGAGGCATTTAATCAGTTGTTTATGTTTCTAACCAAGTATTTTGGTATCTCCCAGTAGGAGGAAGCAGGGACATAGCTGGGCAGGAGACTGAGAGCTCTGAGAAAACTCTGGGTCTGCAGCCTGAAGCCCCTCTCTGTGGTCGTCAGCTTCGGCTCAGGCAAACCAAAGCTCTGAAAGCTAACCAGTCATATCAGGGAATGTGATTCTGGCCCTTTGGGTGCTTCTGTGGAACCAAAGGAAGGCTATTCCATTTGGGTTCTCTGACACTTTTCCCCTCTGCCAACCTAGATGATGCAGCCTTCCATACCAAAGTCATTGTGCAGGCAGCGTCCAGGCTGTGAATCCCACAGCTACCTGGGCCCGGCAGGTTGGAAAACCAAGTGAGTTGCTGCAGGCTGCCGTGTGCTGTGCTAGGCATTAGAATTTAGCAAAGTCAGACAAATCATCCCAAATTACTAGTATGCTCACCAGCTGGGCTTTCTGTGTAAGACACCAAGTTTGAAAATGTTAAGGAAGTGTGTTGCTTATTGTCATGAAGATGTTGAATGGGCTTCAACGGTGTTGATGATGGGATCGTAAGTAGGCCTTCTGATATGCAGACTTCATTCCTCTTAGTTATTAACGATGATCCATGAATAAGCTTATGATATACCCAGAGGTTTTTTATGGTTGAGGTTCTTGGGTTTTGGTAAATGTTTTGTTGTTAAGCCAAAAATAAGTTCAGTGGCAAACCCAATATAAATGCAATACCATATACAATTTTAATAACCATAAAAGCACCATTATATAAGACACTTAAAATAATATCTCACAAAACATTAGAAAGAAGCTATTGGCCAAAAAATAAATAGACCATACATTCCACATGGTCTTCTCACAATCTCGTACCAAATGAATCTGATTCCAGCCTGCTGGGATTTAATTTGAACTCATAAATTCATAACTGATCTGAGGGGCACTCCACATGACATACATACCCTGCTGATCTCAATGAGCATGACTTTCACATTTCCTTGTATGACCTAAACTCTGGCTGCTTCATTGCTTTGCACTCCCAACCCAAACATCCGGGTGGCTAACTAATCACATGTTAGAGGCATCATTTCAGGAATCACTTGATGACTCTTTAAAACTGATGTTTTGCAAAAGCAGGTTATTTACATTGTTGGACTACAAGCTGGAGGAGGGAGGGGGGTTGGTTCCGCTGACGCTGCTGAGCGCAGCAGGGTCTGACTGTAATGGTACTCATTCTCCTTAGGGGCCTAGTACTGAGAATTCATAGGCGTGTTTAACAGTGACACATCTTTAAAATAAGGGGAAAAGTCCCCTAATGGTACCCTGAAGGACAACATCCCCTTCTGTGCATTAAGTCTAAAAGAAAATCAGTGCCATTAGAGTGATGGTTCTGGTCTCTGGATGCAGACGGTCAGAGTAGCAAGGGCACTTCCTACTGCTTCCCGCCTCTGCGTCCGCCCCCCCTCACGCTCCAGCTTTATGGAGAAGATGGATCTGGCAAAGGCAGTGGTACTGTAGCCCAGAGATGTGCTAGGAACACTTTGTTTATGACACTGCAACTAATTGATAATCTTGGATTTCAGTTTCAAATTAGCTCTTTCTCTAGAGAAAGACCTTTGAGCCCTCAGCAGAATCCCCATCATCAAGCCATATGGGCCATTCTGACATCGCTTGTTGGAGATAATGAATATAATGACCTCTGTTCAGAAATTTCTGGGCTTGGCTATTTACATTGGAATTAGAGCTCTGGCTAAAACTGAACAAAGAATAAATACCAAAAATTGAAGTAAAAACTTCTTTAGGAAAATTCTGCAGTGGCTGTGCACAGACAGCTAATATCCATGGTGACAACCACCCCTTCTGAAGCTCTCATTGGAGAAGCCGCCATGAGCCCTTCGGTTGGGGAGCTCTGTGTAGGTGCTCCAGTACCCAGAGCCACTGGAAGGCGCGCTGTTCCTGTCCTGGTTTCTGTTCGCTCTGCTTGGCTTTTCTGCATGAAGGACACTGTGAAAGGTAACATCGTGTTCATACCGTTCTTTCATTCGGTGGATTTTTTCTCTTGGGACTCCATGGATGTTTCTTCTACACAGAAGAAAAACCCACAAGTGTTTAGTTAAGGCAGGCTATCAACACAACTTACATCAAGTAACGTACATCACAAATCCTGCATTGCATGGCTGCTGCGCTGCCTCAGGACACCTGGCAAAAGCGTATGAGGTCCAGCTCTGCTGGCTCTCATGCCGCCTGACACATCCCCAAACAAGCCTGTGGCTTGCTTTAGGAAGGCTTTGTTTCAGCTGGGCACTCGGGAGGCAGAGACAGGAAGATCTCTGTGAGTTCAAGACCAGCCTGGTCTATAGTGTGAGTTCCATGGCTACAGAGAAACCCTGTCTTAAAAAATGAAAAACCAAATAAAAAAAAAAAAAGCTTTGTTTCTGGTGATATCAACAATGAACAAACACCATAAGATTTAACTACTCATGTATTTAGTGATATGCCTGCTGATGACATTTGTACATCTGCTATCAGTTCAGATCAGCTGGTCTCTGATACCATTAGATGATGCTTACTGAAACAATCTTAAGTTCTAGAAGGCACAAATACCAGCTGGGGACGTGGTTAGACATACAATTGCCAAGATTTAAATTACAGAATAGAGTTCATGAACCATGTCAGATTTAACAACCAGGCAATCGAGGGGGTAGTCACAGACTCATTTTGGAAATACTCTGCTTCTGCTGGGCCATTGGTATCAGGTAACACAGAGCGTGGCTATCAGAAGCCATGCGTTAAAAACCAAGTTAGTATTCTTTGGACACATGTTGCTGTTAAGTCAAAGCAGCACTTGTAGCGTGAATGACCCACGTTCTGCTTCCCACTCAAAGGTCTCGCTTTAGCCTAATGCAGAAGCGTCACTGGCATGTGCATCCCATGCAGAGGCAGTGCTGTAAATGCTCATTAATGAAGAAGCGACTGAGCATAAAGTGAGTGCATCCTTCTCAAGGACCAAGTCCAAGCCAAGGATTAGCATTTAGCATTGTATTAGACATCTGACTCAGAGCTAAAATCTTCACATTAATAGTTCCAAATTTATCAATTTCTAAGAATTACCATTTCTGGCCTGAAAACTACAGTCCATTTCCAGCCTGAAAAGATGCTTTTGTTCGGTCTGAAATACCTGAAAACAGCAGGATACAGAATGAGGAACGAGGAAAACAAAGAGGTACCTTGCTAACTCTTGAACGTTGAATTTCCAGCGAGTGTCGGGTTCTCGGAATATAACTTCATAGTTATTCTCAAGTGCCTGATTTTTCAAAAGTACATAAGACAATGAAGACATGGCATGTATGCTTGGGGTTGTTCATGCTCCCCTTAACATTCACCACAGACTTGCCCAAAGCCCCCTGTTTTACAGGCCCGAATCTGTCCCCGTAGCTAGCCGCTCATGCTGTGTTACATGTCCCATCGACAGAGTTTATCAGTTCTATCTAGTATGACTGAACATCCCTGAAGACCGATCACTGAATGCATGACGAAGCTTCCCAAACACAGGTGTGAACAAGGAACCTGGAGAATCCTAAAGTCGCTTCTGTGATCATGGAGTTACTTCTGCTTTGGTTTGTAACTGAGAGCACCGCATAACTTAGGAAGTAAAAGCGATTTCCACATATTTTAATATAGTGTTTCCTACAGATTGCAGCTCTCCCCGCTCCGCAGTGCTTGGCCCAATGCCCTGGGCCTCATTTCTGTGAGTTTAGAGAAATAGTAAGGGGGCTAGAGAGATGGCTCAGCAGTTAAAGAGCACTGGCTGTTCTTCCAGAGGACCCAGGTTCAATTTCCAGCACCCACATGGCAGCTCACACCTGTCTGTAACTCGTTTTCTAGGATCTGATATCTTTATGCCAATGCACTTAAAATAAAAGTTAGATAAATTACTTTTTTAAAAAGAGAAAATTAGTAAAGTTCTCATGTCAAATCTAAACAGTCAGAAACTGACAGCTTTGTTCAAACAGCCTTCTGTTATCACCAGTGCCCAACGTGTTAAAAATAGAATTAAGTGAGCTCAGATGAGGGCTCCTGCATAAGGAGGCAGCGTGCATACGTCCTGGTGCGCTGTTACACCAGAGGGGGCTACAGTTAATAGTACACAAATCAAAACAGCCAACAGAACTCTGAGTGTTCTCATCTCATACAAAACTGTGTTTGTGGTGGTGGATAGCCTAAGTACCCTGAGTCAGTCGTGAATTTATCCACCAAATAGCCCACTGTACTCCATGAATATGTAAGATTATTAATAAACTAATAGATACATTTAAATAGATGTTTCCCCTTCTTCCTTTGGATAGTCAGTTCTATCCAGGAAAAATAATCAACCACCGTGTCTTAAGGACAGCTAATAACTGGATCTCATTAACAGCTTTGGGTGTCTAATATCCATCCAGAACAGAGACATGAAATGACTTCCTGGAAGTCAATGCCAGATGCTTTTAATGCTGCCTCAGGCTGTGCCCGCGTGCATCAGCTCTTCATGGCCCTGTTCGCCTTTTGTGGCCTTGAATGCAGACTGAAATACAGAGTTTCTAGTCACCCCTTATACCTGGGCCTGAACAGAGCTGATGGGGAAGCCTCCGTAGGCAGAAGCGCAGCTGTCTGTCTGCTATTTTGCCTATATGTGGAAAGAATCCTAAAGCCCAACTGCCGTGGAGGAGACTTCACAACACACTGGGGGCCATGTGTATCTCCAGAAGCTGTCTGCCTCCTGCTCCGCTCAGTTTGCGTGTGGACTGAAAACCTGTTAGCAGAAGATATAAACTATGTCTGAAAAGATCCGAATGGAGCTGAGTTGTGTGTTGATGTTTGTATTCCACTGTCTTAAAGGGTTACGCTGGCAATCCTAAACCTGTTTATAGACGAAGAAACTCTGTCGCCCCGGGACTCGCAGCAAAACACTGCTGAAATCCCCAGCCTGCAACAGGGAGACCTGACTCACTGGGACCCAGAGCCCTGCTAGTGCATCCCCTCGTCTGTAACTCCCTCAAGAATGGGTGGATGCTCCCCAGAGTAGAAAATAGTCCAAACTGAGGAGGCAAAGGCAGGTGGGGTTCTACAAGTTCGAGACCAGCCTGGTATACATAGTGAGTTCTAGGATAGCCAGGGCTATGTAGGGGAGAAGGAAGGAGGGAAGGAGAGAGAGATATCTACCAAGGACTAAGACCAAGTACTCCCATTTATGGAGGCCCTGAGGTAAGGTAGCCCCTCAGTGAGTGAAGAGCAGAGAGAAACCCTAAAAGAGCTCTACCTGCTCCCTGAGAGGATTATCGTTAGTAAGTGTAAAATCACGGACGGCCAGAAAAAGAGGAAAGAGCACAGGTTTCAACTTTCTCACAAAACGCCCACAACGGAAAATTCAGAATGATACTTCTTCCTACCATGACTGCATAGGGCTTCATTTCCCAGGCGTGCAGGTTGGTGTTATCAATAATAATGGGGGATATGCCATTCTGCATTGCTTTCCTTGCTGTAACACAATGCAACACAACAGTGAACAACACGCAGCGGGCACCAGCGCGAGCATCATCCACATTTTGTCACTTCCATTGCAGGAGGCCTTCCTCGCTTGGTGAAACGCTACCTAGTGCAGAACCGCTAGCGGGGTTTTCCTTTAACTGGGATCTACGACAGAGGCCAAGCCCTGCTGCCCTGCTCGGATAGAGAAGTGGCAGAGCTTGTCTGTCTCTAAAGCTCCTTCCGTTTTGAAGCTGCTACAATCTACATGCACCACAGGGTTTTCCCCGAGAGTTTGAAAAGGAATTTGTCACCTCGCTTCTGGTTCCACTCATGAGCTTCCTCCAAGAAGTCCGGGTTGAACTCATAGGCACCATCTTCCCTGAAGAAAAAATCGTCGGTGCTGAAAATCATGGCCCTGGGAAAGTCACGCTGCATTTCTCTGCAAAGTGGAGAAACGGAAAAGGGATTTGCCCCATTATGCTTGGTCATGGGAGAACGGCTTCTTTCCATCTTTAACAGCGAGCAGACTATAATTCTGCGAGCTGCACGTTTTGAATTTCCCACTCCACTAAGGAGGAGAATCAATCATCTCAGCCATCACTCCTCAATGGGAGGCAGAAGCCTGAGAGGCCACTGTGCAGGTTGCCAACCCTCCGAAGTAGAGGTCACCGGTCACGGCCACTGCCTCCTGCAGCATCCAGGATTGACTGACACTCCAAAGCAAAGTTGAAGGCATGGTGACTGTTTCCTGAGGGACATCAGTTACCAGGGCCACTCCTCTCCAAGGCACACCAGTGCCCTCCCAGACCTCCCCTCAGGCACCATGCCCCCACGCTGCAGCCCTTCCCTTCGCCCCTAAACTCTTACCTGTCCTGGGTCCCATTCCTCGGAGCTCTGATCTCTGTAAGGACCCATCTGAGCAACTAGTTCTTGCTGAGGTATGAAATGTGGATAAAGGAGATGTGTGTGAGCTACCCTCTGAGTTCTAACAATACCTAAACCAATGGAAAAAGCACAAGAGAAGGAGAGAGGTGAACCCAATAATGTCCCTGTGCCTTCTGAGCGCTACCCCTGGGGTCTAAATGGGAAAATGTCATAGGAAACAATAACATCACAGAGAGTGCCTTCACGTGACACAGAAAGCGGGGTAAATTCTGCGGGAAAGAATTTCAAGGAGGTTTTGACTTGGGATGGCATCGCATTTGGGGGCAGGTACTATTAAATCAGAAGTGGCAGGGCTGGTGCCAAACTACTGTGTTTCCTTTGAAAGGAAAAAAAATGCAGAAGCCGGTTATCTGGCAATGCATGCCTGCAGCACAGTAGACTCTGCTAGGGCCTGGCAACCACTCCTGCAGCTGGGTGGAGAGTGATGGAAAAGCAGGCAGAGGCGTGGGGGGTTTTTTAAGTTCTGCTCTTGGTAGACAGAGAGCTTATTGCCTCCTTCCCCCCTTTTTGTTTCGTTTTGTTTTTCAAGACAAGGTTTCTCTGTGTAACAGCTCTGACTGTCCTGGAACCACTCTGTAGACCAGGCTGACCTTGAACTCACAGATCCTCCAACTTCTGCCTCCCAAGTGCTGGGATTATCTTAATCCAGCAAGAATATGGAGCAGTAGAGCAGTGTCCCACCCTCATGCTTCCATTCCAGCCGCCATGAACTTGTCTGCCTAAACTTGTTTTCTCAATCCTAAAATAGAGAACAGTCCCAAAGGCTGAAGGGAGAGCCCTTCGTAAAGGGGAAATACTTAACAAATGTGAGCCGCACTATTACGCTGTTTGTCATAACTTACCCCACCCTGACTGATGACGGACAGGGGCCATGCGCCCGGGCATGTGGGAATATGGGGCTTTTTAGGGGTTGTGGTGGATGCGAGAAAGGGGAAAGGATAAGAGCTTTCACTTTGAAATGTCGGTAAATACACATTCCAGAAACAGCCTGCAAGCATCTCTACCTGAGTTCTCCAGAAGGCGTGACAGCAGAGTTGGAAATGCTGACAAAGTAAATGCATTTGTTTACCGTGAGTGGTGGCTCATGGGCAGTCCAGTGAATATTTTGATTTTAACAGCAACCTGACTGTCCTTGAGAGACTTTTGAGAAAATGTAGGACTATATTTCTTTCTTTCTTTCTTTCTTTCTTTCTTTTTTTTTTTTGGTGTTTGTTTATTTGGTTGGTTGGTTGGTTTTATTGTCGGGGGTGGGGGCGGGTTTGAGACAGGGTTTCTGTGTGTAACCACGTTAGCTGTCCTGGAACTAGCTCTTGTAGACCAGGCTGGCCTTGAACTCACAGAGATCCGCCTCCCTCTGCCTCTTGAGTACTGGGATTAAAGGTGTGTGCCACCACCACCCGGCATTTATTTTTAGTTATCTCCATGCGCACCACCTGCACATCTGTCCATGGAGGCCAGAAGAGGGCATCAGATCTCCTGGTGCTGGAATTACAGTTATGCACCACCATGTGGGTGCTGGGAATCAAACCCAGGTCCTCTGCAGGAGTGGCAAGGGATCTGAGCCATCTCTGCAGGCCTGAGGTAATAGATTTCAATATCAAAGGACTAGTATCAATTAGCCAGCCTATGAAACCCCTATTGACAATTGTCAGACACCAAGTGTTACACGAAGTGTTACGACATAGAAATAAATCAAGGAGTTGCTTCCAAGAATGTATGAGCTGGCTAGGGGGCCTGGTCTCCTACACAGTTTGTGTGGCACATGGAGGACAAGCTGTACCAGCAAAACACAGAGAGAATTTAGGTCAGCAACATCAACATTTTGGCAAGGGGAGCATTATAAAAGAGAGCATTTGCCTTGGGCCTCGAGGGTAACTTATACCTCATGTGAGAGGGGATGAGAGAAGGCGGGAGCAACATGTCCAAGGTAAATACACTGCAAAGAGCAAAGACACTGCAGTTCCCCTGTGGCAAACCCTAGAAATGCTAGGCGCAAAGCGTTAAGAGCCTTTTTGGAGGCGAGCTTTCCTTTCCACGTGTAATCCTCAAGGGCTCCTGTTTCCTGTCAGGGCTTTACACTACGGACAGAAGTTTAAGTTTCTGGTGTTTTCTCTACATAAACTTTAAGACGTGGTGTTCGTTTCACACTTTCTTTGCTCCTTAATCACGTCAAGAAAATATAACATCTCGGCTCTTTTGGATCACGACGTTTTACTCAGAGTAAAATTGCGCAGGCCCGCCACCGGGCAGCAGACACCCCTGCGAATGGCCTGCATAGCCCTGTCAGCGAACTGGCAGCCAGGAGTACGCGCTTCACCTGTGTGGCGCTGAGCTGCACACCCCTTTGCTCTGCCCTGTTTACTTTTTTTTTTTTTTTTTTTTTTTTTTTTTACTTTTACCTGATTGTCAAATTAGTACCGACAGCCATAGCAACAGCTTGAAGACTCAAGGCAGTACAAACACCAGCTGAGCAGAAGTGGCTGACAGTATGTGGACTGTTAAGACGTAAGGCTGAGCAATAAATACCATTCCATCGGCCTCGGGAGAGGAGGGAAGGGCCTCAGCCCTAGCTTTCTCTATGGTGGTCAGGAGCCGCATGCAGTTAGGGAAATTGAGGAAAGAAAAAAGCAGAAGAAAAGGGAGAAAAGAGACAATTACTTGCCCATCTCTCCCCTCCTCCACTGCCCCGCCCCCACTCACTAAAATTATGAGAGAAAATCAGGCACTAACCTATATTTCATAATTTATTTTCCCACAATTATTTAACCATCAAGAACTATAAAGTCACTGGGCGGTGGTGGCGCACACCTTTAATTCTAGCACTGGGGAGGCAGAGGAAGGAGGATCTCTGTGAGTTCGAGACCAGCCTGGTCTACAGAGCTAGTTCCAGGACAGCCAGGGCTACACAGAGAAATCACCTGTATCACCCCCCAAAAATAATTACTTGAGTTTATGTTTTAAAGATCTCAAAATTTCCTCTCATAATCTCATAATTTAAGATTATTTTAATTCATTTTCTATTTAAATATTTAAGCCATTTCTCTTATAGCGCCACAAATATTTTTTCATTTGTTTCAAGTACCACCTTTGGTAATTATGTCTTTCCTCTATAACTGTCCTCACGCCTCTATGGGTTTCCTTTGGACAGAGTCCAGAGAAGTTCCGGTCATCTGCTCAGGATTGGGTCCAGACTAAACATTCTTGGAGGGATGGTACAGAGGAGAGATGTGCTCCCTGACCTCACGTGACACCCTGCCCAGTGTGCTCAAGCGTACACCTGGCTAAAAGCCAGTGCCAGTGAGTGTTCCACTGTCAAACAGGCTCACTGGCTTCGTGTGTGAGCAGAGGCCCGGACCACGTGACTGTGCTCGGTTCTAGCAGCCTTCCCTGGACAGCCTACACCTCAGAGATCCTGCAAGTCTTACGTGGGGGATCATGGAATTATTTGAAAGTCTTTCCCTATTTTCTAGGTAGAATTTTGTTGTTGCTTTGGTTTGGGTTTTCAAGACAGAGTTTCTTTGTATAACAGCCCTGGCTGTACTTGGAACTAGCTATGCAGACCAAACTGGCCTCAAACTCACGGTGTAGACCAGGATGGCCGCGAACTCACAGAGATCCTCCTCCCTCCTCCGGAGTTCTGGGATTAAAGGCGTGCACCACCACCGCCCTGCCAGAATTGTTTTATAAGGAGCCTTCTCTCTCCTCTTTTCATAATCTTTATTTTATTTATTTATTTATTTTCTTATTGCTGTGCAGCTCATACTACTTTTGGGTCCATAATCCTTCTGCCTCAGCCCCTCAAGAGCTGGGATAGCAGGCAGGCACCCCTGTGCCCCGCCATGCTACACTTTGTTTGCTTGCTGTGTAACTCTGATGGGCCTAAAGTTCACTATGGAGTCCAGGCCGGCCTCGTACTTGTGGGAAATCCTTCTGCCTGTCTCCCAAATGCTAGGATTGCAGCATGCACCTTACAGCCAGTCCTGTCATTGTTCTTTCTGATGTCCAACTGTCCCAAGTTTAGCTAGAGGTACCCTTCAAGCCGGCTCCTCTGTCTTTATTCATGAAAAGTATCCTTTTGTTCCTAATTAGCACAGACACACATTGAAACATTAAAGCCCTGAATAAATAACAAATAAACAAATAAATGAATACGGATAGGCTCCTATATTTCTCCTGGATGGAAAATGATTTCGAACACTTGGGGTTTTCTTGCCAGGATCTCTAAAGTCTTTTCTTTGAGTTGTCTTTTCATTTATTAGTTGTGTCTGTGCACGTGTGAGGTCATAGAACAACTTTCACCGCATTTCCCTCCCTTGGCCGTGCGGGTTCCAGGCTCAGATAGGTCCTTAAGGCTTGGTGACAAAGGCTGAGCCCAAATTTTATCCGCTTGTTTGTTCATTTACTCATTTGTTTTCTGAGACAGTCTCACTAGGAAGCCCTGAGCAGCCTATAACTCAGCCGCTGCCTCCCAAGTGCCCGGCGAGTGCCTCCAAAGGCGTGTGCCTGGATACCCAGAGTAAACGTTTTTATTTCGTCTTTTTGTATAAAGACAGGAATGAGATCTAAAGCATACCACGTTTTCACCAATGGTTCTTTTCTTCATAGTAAATTAATTCTCACCCCATGAAATATTCTGACTGTTTTTTTTCAAGACGGGGTTTCTCTGTGTAGCCCTGGTTGTCCTGGAACTCGCTCTGTAGACCAGGCTGACCTCAAACTCACAGAGATCTGCCTGCCTCCGCCTCTGGGTGCTGGGATTAAAGGCATGTGCCACCACTGCTGGGCTTCTGTGACAATTTCAGTGCACAGTATGCATTTCTCCACAGGGCTGCACCACAGTTTCCCTAGCGACTGTGCCATGAGTAGCCAGTGGACCATTCTCCCCAAGACCATCAAGACCATCCCCTCCGGTGTGTGGAGCAGGGCTCCTCATGGGGACGGTTAGCTTACTGAATCACAATTCTCTACACAACAGTTGCTTTGGAGCTCTTGGTCTCTGTCATCTCTAGATGGTAAAGTTTAAATCTTTTCTCATGCACTCAAGTGACATATAGCCTTTTATTTGCAAACCCACACCTTTGGCGGGACATCAGAACAGTCTTTCTCACCCGAAGATTATGTCAACATGTCAATAATTACATTTTCCTCCTCGGTCCATCTGAAATTTCGTTTATCTATAGTACTGGTTAAGGATCTAACTTGATTATTTTTCTACCTAAGACCCTGGTTGACCCCAAACCATTCCCTCTGTGTTTTAGCCTTTCCCATTATCCTGAAATACAACACCACACAAATGACTGCATGTAATTAGAGCTATCCTTGGACTTATTTTGTTCCTATGTTTGGATCCCATCTTCTTGCTTTCTTTTCTAATATTTTATTATAGTCAGTAGCTGAGAATATTTCCTTTATAAAATGTATACCCTTAGTTCATTTTGATGCAGAAGTGTGTCTGAACAGTGTCAATTAAAGCCACACCTCCTTTTTGCTCCATGGTGGTTCCAGTAACTCCTCCCGGAGCGTCTGGCAGGGATCAGAGACCTTGGCATATATGATCTCTCTTTAACCTTTGTACCACTTTTCTGAAGTAAATAATAGTTCCTCCAGTTACAGATAACGAAACTACCGCTTGAAGAGATTAAGTAACAGGCCAGGACGCAGCGTTTCCAAGTGGCACCGCCAGCATTTTCCCTCCAGTCTGGAGAGAACCAGGCTGAGTGGCATTACAGACTCTGAGAGGGTGCATCTCATTGTCTCACACAATAGCGACGAGCAACCCCAGTCTGCAACCACAACCTGCAGCTGCCATGCCGAGTTTATTATGGCATTTCCTTAATTTCAGAAAACAACCTGTGGGGGTTGGTGGAGGGAGTGGGAGGAGGGGAGGGAGTGGGAACCAGGATTGGTATGTAAAATGAGAAAAGACAGTTTTTTTTTTTAAAAAATGTATAATTAATTAAAAATTGGATGTGTGTATGTGAGTGCCCGTATGTGGTGTGTGTCTAGGCACCATGCTTTTCTGCCTGGTGCTCGAGGAGGCCAGAAGAGCGCTTCAGATCCCCTAGAACTGGAGTTACAGATATTTATGAGCCACTGGGAAATGAACCCCGGTCCTCTGCAAGAGCAACCAGTGCTCTTAACCACTGAACCATCTCCAGTTCCAACGAAGACTTTCTTACATGTCTATCATGAAACTTTGGTCA